GATTTAAAAATACAGGCCATTTTCATGCTTTTAGCTTTAGCCTGCTGCTTAGAATATGGTCCATGTTGATTGTAGCCACCCTGCATCAAATTGAACCGTCTGTCTGGCCAATAGCAGTGCACCTGTGCGTCTCTCCAGCCAATAAGAGCCAAGCAGCTTCTGATGAACTAGCTGACCCCCTGGTCAAACGATTGGCAGCTGACACCATAATTGTCAGGTCCCCTACCCAATGAGAATTTGAATACCAGTTCATTTAAAACACATTAATGATTTCTTTATTATATGGAAATATGATTAATAACCTATTATATTACAAAATATCATGTTTATATTATATTATTTATTATTTTACAGAATCTAAAATATATGATCAGCCTAAGATTGAGGGTTCTTTTATTATTATTTTATTTTATTTTATTTTTTATTTATTATTATTATTTTTTTTTTTAGAAAAGCCAAAACATCTCCTATAGTCACAGTCACAGTCACATCTCTATAGCTTGCATCCGTCACTTTTAATATGACAGTGATGACAGACTAACCTCTAATTGATTTTCTGATTGACTGATTTTATTGACTGACTGGTGAACTGAGGTCCGCTGACATTACATAATTAGACACACGTGAGTGTGTTCGTGAAAGAGGTCTGTACAACAGCTCCCAAAGGCCCTCTACAGTGCATAATGTGTCTGGGTTTCTTTGGGTGTGCCATTAGGGCCAGCAGAGATTAAGTGGCATTAAGCCATTAAGGGCATTAAGGCATTAAGGCTCTGGCTCTCTGGGCCTTTGCTGTCTGATCTGATAGATCACCTCTGTAAACTGCCTGCTCATCTTCAGTCTGACACAGCAAAGTCATCAGTGTAGTTTTTTAACCCTTAACATTCACAAATACTTAAATTCCCCCTCCCTCTCTTATTACTTTATATTAACTCTACCTTTGCATTGTTTCCATACACAGTACTATGCAAAAACCGTAATTTATTTTCCATTCTAAACGGCTATTAAGCAGACGTTATTCACTTTGCAGCATCAGAAAAAGATTTTCAGCATTTATTGTGTCCACTCTTCACCTTTATTACAGCTTCTATACTTTTCCACACGTCCAAAGTTCAGTCTTAGCAGTTGGTTGTAGTTTCTGCCCCTTGCGATCCAAGTAATCACAAACACATTCAGTGATGTTGGGGTCTGGACTCTGGGGTGGTCAGTTCCACAGCAGCTTTTTTATTTGCGTATTTAATTTTTTTTGTCTATGAAGGGCTCCTTAACAGCTACACATCCTTTCAGGCTCATAGGGCTGAGTGGTCTTCTCACAGTGGAAGGATGGACAGAAACACCTGTGGATATTCAGATCGGAAGCAGTTTGTTTTGCTCCTCTCTCTCAAAGGTGAAAGTGCTGTTTATCTAATGGGGACAGTTTTCATTGTCCACCAGGTCTTGCGGGTGGTTGTTTGGAATCCTGTTTACTCTAAAGCTTTAATTTTTTTTTTTTAATTCTAACTTTGAATTCCTGATTTTTTACTAATTATCCTTTGACTTTCTCCTTCCCTATGCAAGTGGATTATCATATCTCCTCTGAACTGTCTCCTGAAAAATGAATAACTTTTACTCAAGGACTGTTTTGACTAGAAATTAAACGAATTAATATTTGGTCTCTGTCTTTTTTAAAGAAACATAGTTGCTAGCTGATATGCCTTAGGTCATAAGGATTAACCCTTAGAAGTTGAAAATTCTTATTTTCTTTTTGCTATGATATATTATTCAAATGTAAGTGCACTACTGCACATGTAATTACATAGTGAGTTTTATAATAGATGATCTGTATATACATGTTGCTGTTGTCTGAAGAAAACCTCGTATCTCAATTTTTGAAGGATCTTTTAGTTTTTTTTACATAATTTGTAAAGCCCTGTTGCTCTTTACATTGTCTGCAAATTTCATGATGAATGGGCTAAAAGAAATGACACAAAAACACATGGTAAAAAGTCTGGTTCCATTGACTTACATTAAAGTTAAGTAGGTTTTTAAAGTCCTAGATCCTAGATCCCCCCAAAGAGAGATTGAGGCTAATTATGCTCTTTTGGACACCCAGACATGGATGGCTGTGGCATCACCAGTGATCGAACTTGTGATCTCCTGATAATAGGGCCAGTGGTTGGTTGTTTTGCACTTTAACTTACATGAGACATAAATAATCAGGAAGTCATTTTAAACCATTTCAATTGGTCTATTAGTCATGACATGTTCATGCAATAATAATAATAATAATAATTATAATAATAATAATGATAATAATCTTAATTTACATAGCATTTTTTCATGCTGATGGCAACTCAAAGTGCTGTACAGACAGGTGATAAAGCTTAACAGCAATAGAAGAAATTATGACTATCAATTTAAAATCATATAAGTCCATGGCACAGATCAAATAAAAAAAAAAAATACCAAGATATGTAGAGTTTTAATTAAATGCTAAGTTAAAGAGATACATTTTTAGATGCTTCTTAAAAGTGAGCACTGAGCTTGACTGTCTAATAAAGATGGAATTGAGATCCACAGTTTAGAAGCAGAATAACTGAACAAGGCCTCGCCATGTTTTCTGTATTTTGTGGAAGGTTTTTGCAGAAGACCAGTATCTGTAGCCTTAAGATAACATGCTAGAACATAAACAGACAGATATTCTGTGATATAAACAGTGCGTTTAGGATATTTAGATGCTTTAAAAGCTAGTAGCAGAACTTTAAAATGTATCCTGAAAGATACAGGTAGCAGTTCTTCTAACACAAGAATGATAATAGCTTCCTTATGTAAGGGACAGTTGATATTTTTCACGCTAGTTATTTAGTGTCCTGTAACTGTTTTTGCAAGAGTAGGTTTTAAAAGACTCAGTATGAATGTCCTTTACTTATAATGGCATGAAACCATACAAGAACAGTAAAAACAGCAGTGCATTAAACACCTCTTGCGCTACAGTGGCTTATATGAAAGTGCTAAGTAGCATTGCTGAGAACATCCTGTACAGAAGAAGATATCTATCACAAAAGAGTTTAGATAGTGTTTGTTCCACTGTGTGCAGTTTGCAGGCTGTTTCCTGTGAGAGCTTTCATTGAGATGAATGTGTGATTCATCAGCGCTGTGGTTGTGATCACAGCCACTGAGGGATTCTGTTTTATTTGCCCGTGTTCTCTCATAAACATGAACACCGTCGCTGCTTCATAGCGGCCAGATGTCTGTGCATGAATATAATGATGGGTGATTATTATCTCAGTATCAGATAAAAATAAATAAATAACAGTGCTGTAACAAAAGTCTTTACTTCACTATATGTGCGTGTGTGTGTGTGTGTGTGTGTGTGTGTGTGTGTGTGTGTGTTTACTGTAAATCTGAGTGTGCTGTTCCAATTAAATGCAGTGTATTTGGGACCTATGATGACCTGTGTCATTTCCGTTAAACATGTAACAGTGCAATAGGCAAAGTGAAGATTTTTATATTTTTTTCATATATATATATATATATATATATATATATATATATAGCACTGCAGTAACACTGACGTGGTGGTGGTGTGTTAGTGTGTGTTGTGCTGGTACGAGTGGATCAGACACAGCAGTGCTGCTAAAGTTTTTAAACACTGCGTCCACTCACTGTCCACTCTACTAGACACTCCTAGCTTGTCAGTCCACCTTGTAGATGTAAAGTCAGAGACGATAGCTTATCTGCTGCTGCACAGTTTGCGTTGGTCATTCTCTAGTCCTTCATCAGCGGTTACATGACGCTGCCCACAGGGCGCTGTTGGCTGGAAATTTTTGGTTGGTGGACTATTCTCAGTCCAGCTGTGACACTGAGGTGTTTAAAAACTCCAGAAGCACTGCTGTGTCTGATCCACTCAGACCAGCACAACACACACTAACACACCACCACCGCATCAGTGTTACTGCAGTGCTGAGAGTGATCCACTACCCAAATAGTACCTGCTCTGTGAGGGTCCATGGGGGTCCTGACCACTGAAGAACAGGGTAAAACTAAGTATGCAGAGAAACAGATGGACTACAGTCTGTAATTGTAGAACTACAAAGTGCACCTATATAGTAAGTGGAGCTGATAAAGTGGACAATGAGCATAGAAACAAGGAGGTGGTCATAATGTTATGCCTGATCGGTGTATATAATGTATGTATGACGAATATATGTACTTATTAATACACAACTAATATATAACACCTATTAGGCATTTTTGAAGGTCTTGTTCTTTCTTCAGTAAAGCCCAAATTAATCCCATCCAAACAGTTCACTCGCTTTGCATTAAGCTTTATTCATTATGTGTTAGTACATAATTGAAGTTCTTTTATAGTAACTCACAATAACTAGACTTTGAGGCATTGCAATGCAAATTATTGAGAAGGAACTTCAGTTATTAATTATTGAGAAGGAACTTCAGTTATTAATTTTTTAAAATGAGATTAAACTAATGCAAAAGGTACCCAGTTTGCATGTTTTGGCAACAAAAAACATAAAATAATATTTACTTTAGAATTTGCAATATGCAAATTGACCTGAAAGCTTGTTTACTGCTTTTTAGACCCTAATTAGTGGGGACTAAAACTCTACTTCAGTATATTGAACACATCTTGGAATTTTAGTGATTTTTTAAACTCTTAGTCACACTAATAAACTTCAGATGTTGATGCTATGGAATATACACAAATACGGTTGCCAATTATTCAGTAATGTTTATTCTGTGTTATTACATCTAATAATGCAATTATTAGTGATTTTCACACAACAGATCTCCAATTGTGTGCCTATATGGGTCGTAATGAATAAAGCTTAATATACAGTGAATAAATCTTTTAAAAGTGTCTAATTCTGGCTTTATTGAACAAAGAACAGCAGTTTTTACAGTAGTGTTTATAGCGTATACATATTACATAAAGGACATATTATTATTAAATATAGGTATGAATGACCACATGACTTGACAATCCTGTGTGTGTATGTGTGCAGGTATGCGAATCCTGGTGAACCTGCTGCTGGACACTCTGCCTATGCTGGGGAACGTGCTCCTGCTCTGCTTCTTCGTCTTCTTCATCTTTGGCATTATCGGTGTGCAGCTGTGGGCGGGGCTACTACGTAACCGGTGCTACCCCGAGGAGAACTTTACCCTGTGAGTTACCCAGTGACCTCTCAACTCTCAGCAGGCCTCAGTTCCTCAGAACAGTGTGGTGTTATCATCCTAAAGCAGTAGTATTGAATGTACAGAGAAAATTCAGGCTTCAGGATGAATGTGAATTCTGCATTTAGCTGGTACCTATTTACATACATACCGGTATGTCATATGTTTTACTGAAGCCCATTTCACGCCAGAAGTGGAACAGCGTGCGTGGTGATGCAGAACCACTCTGTGATATTTGCATTTTCACATAATACAAATGACTGTGTTGTCAACCTATTGCTTAAATAAACTTTATGTAGATGATGTTAAGGGAGCAACGATAATAAACCTGACTTGCTGCCATAACAGTTGATATAGCTTTCTGACCATGTCATGTACACAGAGAATGTTTGTTCACAACATTAATTTAAGGGATACATACACATATATATATCTCTCTGTGTGTGTGTGTGCATGTGTGTGTGTGTGTGTGTGTGTGTGTGTGTGTGCGTGTCATAAAGCTGTTGTTTACTTAATGTTCAGAATGAAGAACGAAGAATCTAAAAATGAACTAATAAACTGGTGAGAATGTGAAGAACACTCTGAAAACCTTCCAACAATTAAGTTCTCTCTCTCTCTATTCCTCTCTCTCTCTCACGCACAAACACACATACACACACACTACAATTCCTCATTCTTCTCTTCATATGCTTCTCTCAATAAAGCCTGATTATGAATCTAAATTTGAAAAATGCAAATATCTTCGGTGCCTAGTTGAGCCCACCATTTCATTAAAACTTGTTCTTCTCTCTTTAGCTGGGTTTCATCAATATTAAACCCTCCCTCACTCTTTCTCTGTGGTTGCTGTGCCAACAGTAACCTAATGCATATTGCTAGCAGATCTGCAGGCACTGCAGGTTTGCATGTATTTTGCTTTTACAGAATTTACAGTGTCCAAATTTGCCATGAGCACACGGTTAACATTTAAGTCTGAGCACAGGATCAGGCATACCCCAGGCTGAAATCAGTGGGGTAAAGGCCCAGCTGAAAAGTGGTTTGTAGTTGATGTGCATTTTGCGTTTGAGCCTGGGGCTCTTGGGGTCTGACCATGATTTGTGTTTCTGAGACTTCGAAAATGTTGGCCTAAAGCCGTATGCTTGAGCCACTTCTCAGTCTTCAACTTATGTCCCTCAAGCTTCCCAAGAAGGGATATAAGAAAAGTTAAACTCAAGTAACAGTGAAGGTTGTACCCTACTTTGGTTAGCTACCAAGTTAATCCATAAATGACAAATTTATGCAGAAAAAGGCATTTTATGTCACTGAACTTTATTTATGCTTGCATTTGTACAAGACCATTGGGGAACCATCATCTCCTTCTAGGCCTTCAGAGAAGGCCCAATAATCTGTAACATGAAAAGTATGTCTGTTATTTGTAGTCCATTGTTTTTTAATAGAATCTTCATACTTGTGTTTAAACTCTGCATGCATTGTAGTAAAAGCAGTGGGTAGCACTGTCGCCTCACAGCAAGAAGGGCCTGGGTTCGATTCCTGGCCAGGTGACCAGGGTCCTTTCTGTGTGGAGTTTGCATGTTCTCCCCGTGTCTGCGTGGGTTTCCTCCGGTTTCCTCCCACAGTCCAAAGACAAGCAGTCAGGCCAATTGGACATGCTAAATTGCCCCTAGGTGTGAGTGTGTGTGAATGTATATGTCTGTCTGTCTGCCCTGCGATGGACTGGTGACCTGTCCAGGGTGTATCCTGCCTTCCTCCCAATGACAGCTGGGATAGGTTCCAGCTCCCCTCGTGACCCAGAAGCATAAGCGGTTTAGAAGGTGTGTGTCTGTGTGTTTTGGTTGAAAACAAAAGGGTTACATTCTGGAAATACCCAACAGAAAATAACCCAATTTGTATTTTTCTTTGTGATATACAGGTAGTTACTGCTAAGCAAGGTCTGCCATTGGTTAAGACTTCAGGAGCTGAACTGAAGGCATAATGTGTCAAATTAACACAATTAGAACTGCAGTGGCAGCTCTGTATCAGCACTGTTTACTGAAGGTGTCACTGTATTAATATGTGTTATGAGCTTCAAATTAAACATGGATTGTCTTTTAAAAGCTTCAAATGCCTGTGTTTAATTTAGAATGGCCAACTAAAAGTATTTAAATCAATCACCGTTAGCTCAGTGATAACAATATAAGAATCCAATCGCTGGCAGAAATTAGCATTATTTTTTCTTTGTTTTTGACTTTTGTGGCCCAATCTGAAGATCTAGCTCCAGTAGTGACAGTTCACAACTGTACAAGACCAGCTGAAACTGGATGTAGTTTCAGGCCCTGTAAAAGTCTATGGGAGGTCACTGTACATTACATTAAAAGCACATATTACACAAAGTAGGTAAGCCACTTAGTAAGTAAGTTAATAAGCAAAAGAAATCATATGTGCTAAATAATATTTCCTTAATATAAAATATGTTGGAAATGTTTGAAAAATTCTTTAACCAAGCACATGTTGAAACCTTGTTTAACTCATTTAGCTATAATCATATGCAAAAGTGTTTACACCCCCATCAAATGACATTTTGTTGATTTTCTAAGTGAAACTCAGCTCCCCACGTCCTCTACTTTAAACTTTCATGGGACAATTTTCTGCAAATTTTAGTGCACAATTTTTATTAATTTGCTAAGTTTAACGTTGAAAAAAGTAAAATATAAAATGTGCCATAACTTTTGCACAGGCCACATTTTATGTTTTGTTTTTCCTAAAATGTTAAGCTCAGAAAATAAGCAGTAATTGTGCACTAAAATGTGCAGAAGTGTGTTCTCTGTAGAGAATGTGTTAACGTACTTAGAAGTTAACTTAGAATTCATTTAAAAAAAAAAAAAAAGAAAAGAAAAACATGGAATTTGACCAGGAGTGCCCATACTTTTGCATTTGATTGTAGTAGAGTTAAAATGACATCACATTTTGAATGTCACGTCACATTTTCCGATCCAATATCTGCCTTCATTAACAACATAGCTTATCACTTCAATGTGTACGGGCGTGGCTTAATTACTGTAGAATAGATAAATGTGTTGTTTTGCATATGCGTTTTGTATATGAATACAAAACTATTTGTTTCCGCAGCCTAGTTTCCAAATATGGACTGTATGGATTGTGTTTATGACAAGCAACTGTTTATAGAGTACATCAACACCTTAATAAACAAAAAAAAAAAAAGAATGATCTGGATTTCTAGAGCTATTTGTGTACTCCAGATGCCTTTAAAGACTGCACTGCTTTATTACAGCTACGTCATTGAGAGTCTAATTGAAAAGCAGGCTTACACATGGCCCTTTGTCTTTGTTTATCACAGCTTGGTGGCTGGCACTGTTATAAAGCCTGAGCCTTATTTTCCTTTTTGATCTGTGAATTTGTTGCTTTCTGAATGAAAAAAAAAGCAGCATCTTTTGTAGCTGTAGATCAAACTGGCATTAGGAGGAACAGAGCTTATGTTGACACAATTAGCATATAGCTTTCGTTCACTGTCTGTTTTGGCACCTGTGCTTTGAGGCTCTGCTTTGTGTTCTGTCACAGCGTTTGGTGTGTTTTCATCTGTATACACGCTCTAATCCAGCCTGATCAGTGCGTCTAATCTACAGTCTGATCTCAGAGTGAAAAGCCCCTCCCCCCCAGACCCAGCTGTATGATGTAAGATGGGGATACATTTTATCTGCATAATTGACAATGAGATTTTGTCTCAGGCTCTATCTGCTCAAAATATCCTTTCTGAGAATTCAGGATGCACTGATAGGGAAATTTTGGAAATGAACACCTTATTTTGAACAATCATTAATTATTTCATTTCTGAATTATAACTAAAATCTATAATTTGTAATCTATATATTGTAATCTGTTACAAAATGGCGATTATGTACAAGGTGTTCATTTTAAATTGCCAGGACTAAATACAGTATCAATTTTTTTTTTCAATATTTAGTGTGTCCACTCTTGGCCTTTATGACAGCTTCCATTATTTTCCAGTGACATGCTTTCAGATTTTCAAAGAAATCTGCATGGATAGCGAATTTGGTTGTGTTTTGAAATACACTGGCGGCAGATTTAAAGGCTACACCAGCAAAGACCGAATATACCATCAACAGGTTGTTCACTTTGATAGGGTTCAACTGTAAGCTGCTGTGGCCATTAGTGTCTGGCAAATCCCATAAATATAAACATATAGCGGTGTATATACTCATAGTGGTATAGTAATGGGGTCTTACCTGGACAGAGAATCAAACCTCCACAGAGGCAGGCCTGGATCATCAAGTTATTGGCCTCTGGGCACAAATATTTGATGAGCCTCTACCTGGCAACCTTTTTTGGGTGGTCAGTTAATTTTCACTGACATCACAGCATTTTACACATACATGCAGCACCATGATATCAGCACACTAACCACGGTCACAGGCACGTCACTGCTGTAAATTCATATTTTTTTCAATTGTGACAACACAATAGCAAGATTGTGCACACATTAATGAGAACACAGGTCAACCCCTTACATGGTCAAAGTTTTATTTAAACTTCCATTACCTAAGAACAGCTCAGACAGTTTGTATTGAAAAACCTGTAGTTACTGAATAATAAGCCTTAGTATGTAATAAATCTGGGATTTTAAGGGGTTAAAGCAGGGGTCGGCAACTTGTGGCTTCGGAGCTGCATTCAGCTCTTTTTCTGCCCTGTTGTGGCTCCACAGCAGAATAAGATTTTTAGGTAAAAATAAAATAATACTCCTTTGCAGTAAAATAAAGCTCTGCTGATCCTTCTAACACAGTTTTAACAATAAATGGTCTTAAATGCTGAAGTTAACGTAGAACTGCTAACTCACCCTTTAACCCTGAAGGTTGACGCGCAGACTGCTGTCACCATAGCAATGCAGAGAACAAATCTCGCCTAGCTAGTAGCTAACGAAAAGGCAAAGAGAGAGATTTAAGACGAGCATCAATAATTTGCAGACGAATGGACTTATTTGC